TTTCCTATCTGTCCCCATGGGAATAAAATTTCATGATGGGCTTGTTCACTATGAAGCCTCCGGGCCTGGCCAGCAGTACACCCTGAATAAATATGTGTTGACTGGAAGGAGGAATCCATATAAAACCCACTCCTCAGAGTGCCCCAGCCCAGGAAGACCCTCTCTTGGAACTGATGATACTTGTTCCTGCAATATTCTTTAAAGACCCCAAGAGATCAAATACCAGCTCTCCGAGGGCATCCTTTGCCTTATTCTTGGTGCCTGGTAGAGGGGACAGAACACCTCATGTGTTCGTTAGCTGGTGGTGGTTGCTGATTCCTCCCTTCTTTGGACTCTCTTCATATCATAAAATGAGTCAAAGCTTCGTCGTAGTCTCAGGAGCTGATAGAGATGTTTCCTTGTGTCCCACTCCTGCTTCTGTTGGCAGTGATGAGATCAATACGCCCTGTATTGCCTGGAATGGTTCATTCTAACAAACAAAACCCTGAACCTCCATGACTTAACACCATGCCATCTTATTTCTTGCTCACCCAAAATTCCATGTAAAAGAAGTGGCATTCCACATTTCAGGACCCAGACTCATTCCATCTTGCAACTCTGCCATCGCCGAAGGCTTGGGGTTCTCCCTTGAATTTCCGCATTCAACTTGAAAAGGCGGGAAGAGACTTTAGGGGTTTCACAGGCTCCCAAATGCTCCCCCTGAAAGGGAGGCACATCCCTTCCTCCCAGATTCTTTTGGACATAACCGTAGCCACAATTAACCTTACGAAGGCGAGGGCATGTGGTCTGGCTATGTCTCCAACAGGCAGAGGAAGCAGGGGTGAGGGAACATGCTTCTGTCACAGGCTCCAGTGCATAGATGCATGCAGAATCCAGGCAGTCTTTTCAACAAAGGATTTCCTGCAGATGCAGCCTTGCAGCTTCTCCTTGACCTCACCCCTGACCGAGGAACACTCAGGGACTAATCAGGTTAGAGGTACAAAGACATAATTAGTGCCAAGAAGTCCAGCATGTGACTTCAAAGAAGACTATTCAAGGCCTGCTGACCTTTCTGTATTGATCCATAAATCAGTAACTTAAGGCAAATGCAGCACCATCCTGTTGGTCTTTGCAGAAGAGGCTGCTCTGCGAGGTTCACCTGAGAGTTACCTGGTGAAGACATGGGTCACCTGGGGAGTGCGACTATTTTGACCTTTTAACATCTGCTTGTGGAGCTCCGGGAAGAGATGAGAAAGGGGGAAGGACAGAGAGAGGAGAGTAAAAGTAGGTCTGAATTTTAGTATGGTTAACCTGGAAGAACTTAGAAGTTTGATGATTCACACAATAAACATCAGTTTCTCCTACCATACTTCTTAATGTGGATTGGTGGGGGACTTTGCTCTCCCATTGACTTGCTGGGCTGCTGGCTGGGAGGTCCCCCTTGTAGCAGCTGCACCATCTCGAATGGTCCACTCTGCTCCCAGGGCAGGGCAGGGCAGGTACAGAGTGAGGAGTCACAGGTGAGCTTTTCACTGCCCCACCAGAGAAATGACCCCCGTGACTTCTGCTCACATTTAGTTGGTCAACTGCCAGGGGTTGAGAAGTGTAGTCATCCACGTGCTGGGAAGGAGAGAATAACAGGTCTTGGTGAACACGCACTGTCCTCAAAGGCACAGCATGGATTCCGCAGAGGTGCTCCTTCTGGAAGGATGATCTCTTGCTGGCCTTACCAGGAAGGGTTTGCAATGTTCCCAGTACTTACCGTGCACTCAGCATCAGAAGGCTTTACCCACTCTTGAAAGAGACCATTGATTGGACCAGGCCTTTCTACTTCCCAGCCATTTCACGAATTTCGGAAAATTGGGAAGAAAGGGAGTTTCAAAAATTTCTTCGGCATCTTCAGGAGGGATTGATCTGGTGGCTCTCGCTTCACACTAAGGTTTCCCAAACTTCATTTCTCACCATCTTCCTGAGTATTGTCATAGAGCGAGAAAATGGTGCCTGCACCCATATCAGTAGAGATTGCTAAATCCATTACTCATTTCCCATCTTCATAAACATACATAACTTGATATTTTTTAAACGAAATGCATCACCAAGTAAAAGGAGAGCGAGAAAACAAAAATAATAATCAAAATAAAAACACTGATGTTAATAGCTTGAGCTAGATGTTGTCATTGTGCAGAATGAGCTTCCCATTTTGTTTAAAAAACATTTGCAATTACTAAGAGGTTGTTTCAGAGTAGCTCAGGCCTGAACTTTTCTCCTGGATGCAATCAGAAGGATTGGAAGAGAATGGCTTCAGTTTTACAGGATGCCCATCTTTAGAGGGCCCGCCAGCATCCTCTCATCCACCAGTGGCATAACCCCTGCAGTACTTGAATTCCAGCTGCTTTCTGCCAGTATCAACCCTCAAACAAAGTTGGCATTTCTCAAAAACTGCTACAGGGAATGTTTTTGTTTTATTGAAAAACAACGACAAAAACTGATTAGTGTAAAAGTCTTATCCACACAGCATGAACAATTAGTGCAATGTAATTACTGACAAAATTAGGCTTACAAATTGATTTATGGCCCCGCAGATGAAACACATATTCTTGGAGGAAATCAGATTTCTTGCAACTAACTTGAGAGAGACAAGGTGGGAAGTTGTCCCAGGGCAGGGGCTGGAGTTAGGGACCTACGAGCCCTCAGCATCCATCTCCAAGTCTTTCTAAGTTTTGCTTCCCCATAATTAGCTGTGCTAATTACCCAAAGAAGATTAGATGTACCAGGGAGAATGGCATACTGGAGAGAGAAAAAGTACCAAGCCATTCTTGCATCTTATTTTAGCCACTGATTAGGTATCTGAAGTTGCAGCTTCCCCAAAAAGCTTCCATATCAAAGAGTCGAAAAAACTTTTGTTTAGCCAACTACGCATATTGAAGAAAACGTTTAACATTTTAGGCAGCAGCTGGAACTTGACAGTCACCTTTCGTCTTCACACTACAGATAGAGAAACCTTTTGCAATGGCAAAAAGTTATTTGATGATTGCAATTCAGGGGAAAAACTCAATTTGATTTAGAAAAACATGATTGTTTGTAATGAAGAACAGGGACCACTTGTTTCCAGTCAATATGTTTGAGAAATGTTTTACAAATAGACTCAGTGTCACAAATAGATGATTTACAGATAAACGCACTGTAGCGTTAAGGATGGAACCTGGATTATGCATTCGGTGCGGGCATCAGTTTTGACACTCAGAGACCAGGTGAAGGTGTCCAAGAGACGAAAGCTCAGCTCTCTCATCACTCAGGTGAAGGAGAAAGGGGACCAGTGGTTTCAGCAGGTGTTCTGCAGGTGGGCAGGATCAGCATCACCTGGAACTTTTTAGAAATGGAGATCTGAAGTCCCACCTTGACCTGCCGAGTTAGCTCTGGGGTGGGCCCAGCAACCCAGGTCTAACAAATTTTCTGATGACTCTCCAGCTGGTTCAAACTTCAGACACAGTGAGAGAGACAATCTCTTAGGGTCTTTGCAGCATTGACTCTTAGGAATTTTATAGGTGAGCAATACAAACAGAAAAGGCAACAAGTTTAAGAAACAAACAAAAGATGTTCAGATAAGCAGATATAGAATAAAAGAAAAGAGCACATCTCAAAGGGCATGAACCCAGAAAGACAATCTTCTATAGAACAGCAGTTGCTTTTTTGATCTTCCTTGAAACTTTGAAAGCTAAAAACTCTTAAAGCATTGGTATATTTCTGCAACTACAGGCATACAGGATAAAAAGTCCATTGCCCCCTCAGTCAGATGATAACGACCCATTTTTATCTACTGAGGCGAATTCACCTCGTTAGATTCAGGGGTTGTTGGTTTACAATATTCCTTAAAAATTCTGAATGCTTTTCCTCCCTCTGAGCTTTGATGGGGTTAATTTAAAGGCTCTCGTGGAGCAGAGCAGTCCTTGGTCTAAAATTTACAGGACGGTGCTTAGGGATCTTGATGTGGGGATGTCTTAGTTGGAGATTGCGGGAGGTGTGAGTGAGAACCATGTCTTTTATCTACTCAAAGCAATGTTGTCTTCTAATGGATCCATTTCCTGTTCCCAATGAGCCCTGGGGAGTATACATGAAATGTTTCTAGGGACGCTAACTTGGGGGATCGTTCTGGGACGGGGCTTGAGGCCAGCATGACCTCAGTGTGGCGTGTGATTTCCTCACTCCGATTCCTGGGAGATGCGCAGGGCGGGGCGAGGGCCCCTCTCCAGCCATCCATGCGCTCTCTCTGGCGAAGAGCCTCAGGTGCCCCTGGGCTGGAGGACCTCCCCTGGGCCTGAGGTTTTGATGACGAGGGGAGGCCGTTGGCCAGCTGGACACCTGTTGGGAGAGTGGGCGGCTCCGTCCTCGGGGTGCCCCAGCGCTGGGAGCCCTCGCCCGCCGCCACCGCGCGTCCGCACTCGCAGGGAGGGTGGCAGGGAGGCTGGGCGTGGGGTGGCCAGGGGAAGGTGGGATTTACTTTGCGGATTGGGGCTCACAGCTGTCACTCCGAAAGGGTGGGGCTTTTTAAAAGCAGACAAATTTTTAAGGCGAAAGCCCCAGCCGGCTCCGGGCACCGTGGCGATCGCCTCCGTTCCGTTCCGGATGCGGTCCTTGCGGAGCCGAGCCCCCGCGCCGCCTGGCAGGAGGCAGCTGCGTTGCTCGGCCGCGTCCCCGAGCCGGCGGGCCCTCCTCCGCGCACATCTGGCCCGCCTCCCCCGGGCGCAGGGGGGAGCCCCGCGTCTTCGGAGCCAGCCGTGCGCTCGGCGCGCGTAGAGCCCCGCGAGCCCTAGCCGGGCCCGGGGCCGGGCGGGCCGAGGCGGCGGCCGGGGAGCAGCCGCACCCGCCAAACTTTGGGTGCCGGAGCGCGCGCGCGCCCGAGGCCCGAGGCAAAGCGGCCGGCCCGGGATGGGGGCTGCGGGCCAGGGAGCCCCGGGCCGCCCAGCCAGCCCGGCTACCCGCCTGGGGGGCTCCGCGCCTCCTCTGCCCGCGCCCCGGGCGCCGCAGCCCCGTCACCCCGGCGCCGCCCGCCCCAGCGCCCGCTAGCCAGCTCCGGAGTCGCCGGAGCCCTGCGCCTGGAGGCGCCCCTGCCTGGGCCACCGGGGGCCACTCTTCGCTCGGGTAAACAGGAAAGGAAATACCCCTCGTGGATTAAAATAAAATAAAAAAAATCTGCTGGGGGCGAAGGAGGGAGGTGGGGTTTGCCTGCGCGCGTGTTGGACTCCAGAGAGCAACTCAGGAGCCCGCGCGCGGTCGTCGCCTCCCGGCCCGGCCATGGACTGGCGGGAGGAGGGCGCAGGGCGCCTGGGCTGCTCAGGCCCCTAGCCGGGCGCTCCCTCGCCACCGGCCCCGCTCCGGGCCTCTAGGGAACTGAGACGGTCTCTTCTTCGCCTGGACGGCGCCGGGGAGCGGAGGATCTGCGCACCGGGTCTCCAGGATGTGCCCGTCTGAGATGGGGACGCTGTGGCACCACTGGTCGCCTGTGCTCATCAGCCTGGCTGCCCTGTTCTCCAAAGGTGAGGACGCCGCGGCCGCCCCGCGGCCCGGGAACTAACTTCGCCTGGAGTGAGTGTGTGGGAGTGTGTGGAGGATGGGGGCGGCCGGGAGAGAGGGCTTGTGTGCATGTGTGTGTGCTTGTTTGCGTGTGTGTGTGCGCGCGTGGGAACGTGCGCTCCTGCAGCAGCCAAGCTCCTCAGACGCCCCTTGGCCGAAGGTGCTTGGCCTGGAGCACTTGGGTGGGAGGCCGTAGGTGAGACTGCTAAGGAGCCGAAAGGAAAGGAAGGCTGTTTCCTGAAAGCCTTTTCTGTAAAGGGAGGGGGCGGGAGGACTGTTGAGACGAAAGGTGGCCTCTGGAGGGCTGAGCCGGCTGTCGGGGGAGGGGATTGAGATGACCAGGAAGATTTCTGGCATTTGAGTTTGACTTTCCCTGGTGGCACTGACCTATTTGGAAATAATTTTGGAGCACTCCTGTTGTATGGGAATACTATTTCGTGTATTATAAGCTGCCAAAAATATAGCCTGGGGGGTAGCTCTGAAGAAGGGGGCTGGGTTTCTCCAGGTCTGCCGCTGTGGAGGTTTGGGCACAGGGTCTGTAGGGTGCTGGGAGCAGCGGCCCCGCAGGGTGCACGTGGAGTTTCAGCTACAAGTTGTGACCCGAGTTATCCCAGCGGGGCCCTGACTTGAAGCCCTGTGTCATGCTGCCTCTTCTCTTCTGCCAGCATCCCTGTCTGTCATGGGAAGAGCAAGTTTGGAAGCTCTGGACAGTCATTCTAACTTGAAGAGAAATGGTGGGATTTGTGCGGGCGATTCTTTCTCATGATTGACCTGGGCTGTTCGTGTGTGGTTCCCCCACCCGGTGCCCCTTTCCTGCAGATAAACACACGGGGAGGAGAGTGAAGCGTCTCGGCTCTCTCTACGTGCTGCAAGAACACTGTACCCATATTTTTCTGCGAAGATTTTTGAGATGAGATCGCTCTCAGAAACTTCAAAGCCAATTGTCATGCACAAAGTCTTTTAATTACATGAATTGTCTGTTTTCTGAGTTCTTCCAGAATCACTGAGGTTATGTTGCTTTGGATCTGATAATAGATGAAGACAGTTCAAATGCTGAGTTTCTGTGCTGGTTCGATTTAGAAAGAAGAATTTACGTTCACCCTACTTCCCTGTCTTTGAAGTGTGGTTGAGATGGGCTCCTGTTCCCTAATTATGAGTGAGAACAGTCCCTGGGATCAGAGCTTTCTGGATTTATAATGTGCACAGGAAACCAAAGAAAAGGTTGATGAATTCAATGAACCTGACTCAGGCAGACGTGAGATTAAAAAAAACAAAATCCACAGCAACAACAGCCCAGCATTTTTTTTTTTTTTTGATTGGTTCTCACTTGGTTTTATAATATATCTAGACTCCTTTGTGTTTATGCTGCAATAACAAGGTTGTATTAAGAAAGGTACAGAATAGCTTTGGAAATGAGACCTCACTATTGTGTTTTTTCACTTAGGTACATAGGTCTGTTACTGATTTCTTTATTAGACTGAGCAGTGTTGAAGACAATTGTATTTCCCCTGATACTTGTGAACTTTTTCAACTTGGAACACTGAACATGTCCTTAAATGAGGTACTCTGTGGTGTGGAAGCCTCTTTACTAGGTGGCCAAAAATTAACACGTATAATGTTATGATAAGCTTAGCATATGACATATTTTGTGTGTTGAACTTAAGTCAGCCAGACAGTTCAAAAGTGAATCGGTTCTGTGTGGAGACTTTGTAAGCAATTAGCAGAGTCTGAGCACATGGTAGATGATTCAGGATTCATCACAATATGTCAAAGAACAAGAAAAAAATTAACACCCCTATTAGCAAATTGTGTAAAATGGAATTTCATGATGCAGATATGATTTATAAATCCAGGGACAGGCCCGTTCTTTTCCCAGTGTATTCATATCACCTCCCTCTAAGATTCTCTGATCACTTGAAAGTTGTCACCAGCTTGCAATCAAGTATGAACTGTATTTAAAAGGATTTTAATTGGAAGTAAACCCACAAACACACACACACGCACACACACATACACACACACACACACACCCCAAAGTGCCTCATTTGTGTGGGGCTGATTGAAAAAGAATATTATCAAGTATTAAATACCTGTTTCCACATAGTATCGTTTTTACTGTATTGTCTTTCCAAATGGGAATTTTTGAATGAAACAAAATGCAGATTTTAATACCAGGTTAATATGCTCGAGCCTTACACGTTTATATTTCATGAGCAGAAAATGATTAGTCATAGAACAAACCCACCGTCTTGTAGATATTTTTTAAAAACAAATAAAAATAAGATTTTATTGCTTGTACTTCTATGCCCCTAGGACCTAGAAAGTGTGGTATGACACACACAGTTTCCCCAGTAGCCTTGCTCTATGGCCCCTAACTTTTCTGGAGGATGGTCTTAAATGTTTAAGGTCTGGCTTTGCTGGTACCTTGATGTAGTTTGCAATGGTGCCAGCCTGCAGATGAGTTTTAATGCATTACTGTGAACTTTGTGGGAGGGGGCAGGTGTATGGAGGGTGGGCTGAGAAGAAAAATTAGTGAGGAGATTAGAGATGGGCAGAGGGCAAGGTGATTTTAAAATACAAAGTCAAGAGGGTTGCCACATTTAGGTTGCTTGTTACAATCCTCACATGCATCCCTCCCAGTTATGTTCTGTTGCACGTGCTGGTAAGAAAGAAGCAGAGGCTGAGAGACCTGCGACGTTGCGAGCGGGGCTGTGGCACTGTTGTGGTCGCTGTGCCTATGGCGGTGCTGGGCACATGCTCTGCCTGCTTCCAGCTGAGCGCGGCCAATGGACTCGGCAGTGGGCTTCTTGGAGCGCCTTCCTGAAGCTGCTTCTATGTGTAGAGCTTCTAGCCTCTAATAATATGCTGAAACGGATGTTTAATACTTGGTAATATTCTTTTTCAATCAGCCCCAGACAGTTCAGGCACTTTGCATTGTGTGTGTGTGGTGTGTCTGTGTGTTTACTTCCAATTAAAATCCTGTTAAATATAGTTCATATTTGATTTCCAACTGGGTGACAACTTTCAAGGGATCAGAGAATCTTAGAGGAGAGGTGATATGAATATATTGGGACATGAACTGAACTGTCCCTCAGCTTATAAATCGTATCTGCATCAGGAAATTCCATTTGACACAATTTGATGACACTGAGGTATTAACTGTGTCAGAGTGAAGCTTCTGGGTAAGAGAGTACCACCCCTTATTTAAGGAAACTGTGGACCAAAAAGAGCTTCAGAATACAGTGATAACTTCTTTAGGGGTCAAGGACTTTTTGGGAGAGGAAAGAATGTCAGAAGGGAGCCAGTTATGGGGGAGAGAGTGACTTTTTGCTTACATTCAAATTCTGTCAAATTAAAAGGCCAAAGAATGAAGAGACCACTAAGTTTTGTTTTGTATGAATTAAAGAGTTAAAATATGATTTTATTAAAAATACTTATGTGCATAGAAAGGTAGAATTCCAAGTTTGAGGATCTGTTTAACTTAGTTATATTCTAAGAGCCAAGAAAAAATGAGTAAACAACAAAAATTTCAAAAACATTTTATTATAGAAGCTGTGCTACACAATATTTAGAATTTATCTATCAATTTTTCTGTTAATCCAGGTGTTATCCATCTTTCCACCCATGCATTCATCCATCATTCCATCCACCCATTCATCCATTCATATCCATCCATCCATCATCCACTCATCTGTCTGTCCATCCACCAGTCCATCCATCCATCCATCATCCATCCATCTGTCCATGCATCCATCCATCCCTCCATCCCTCCATCCGTCCTTCCATCCATCTGTCCATCCATCCATCCAATCATCATTCCATCCTTCTATCCACCAATCCTTCCATCTATCTATCATTTCACCCATCCATTCATCATTCCATCCATCTGTGTATTCATTCAACAAATATCAAAGGCCACATGCCTTCAGTGAACACAGAGCTCAGCAGGAACTATTTCCAAGTGTTGTGAGGACACAGGGCAGGTACTAAAGCGTCCTTAGGTAGGGATGTTTAGTGCCAGTCATTCTTCTAGATGTCAAAGTGCCTCACACCATCGCTCCATTGCTTTAAATTGTAAGCTGAAACCTGGGCAATTGCATATTCATCAGTCCCCTCTTTCTTCGTTCCCTCCTCTTTCCTATTTCATAACTGTGACTGCCTTCTGAGCACCAATGATGTACCTCATACCGTGCTGGGCACAGGGAGTACCGTAGTAAGGAAAAGCCCAGGTTGATATGGTTACCGTTCCCAGAGAACTTGCCATTTATAGGAGAGATAGGGGCACGTGTGAATTACACAGAAAAACGTAAAGTTAGCACTGTGGGTGTGCTGTGGAGGAGGGGGCGAGAGTCTCTGGATCTAGATACTTTGGCAGTTGACTTAGAGTAGCTGGGAAGACTCCCCTTGTCCGAAGGATAGGCTGGCATTACCGGGTGGACTGGGAGGAGTCAGGACTACCCAGGTGATCCACATAATCTCCCATCTTGAGTCCACCAAGAGACTGGGACACTGGGGACTCACGAGGACAGTGTGGCCAGGAAGGTTGGGGAGAGAGCCCTGTGGATTTCAGGACTGTGTGAAGGGAGAGGAGAGAAAGTGCTGGGTAGAGCTGGGGTGGGCAGAGGTCAGCACCCTCTTTCACTCCCAAAATTCTCCAGGTGGATGACAGATCCCACAGTCACTGTTTCATAGGCCATGTTGAGGCAGTTTGTCATTCTTTAAAGGTAGAAGGAGGGCAGGATGGATTTTAACTTCTTTACAAAGTATGTATACGTTCCCTGTGGCTGCTGTAAAAAGTTGCCACAAACATGTGACTTAACAGAAGTGCATTTCCCGCAGTTCTGGAGGCCAGAAGACCAAAAGCAGCATCACGGGGCTGAAACTGAGGTGTCCGCATGAGGCGCTGGCGGAATCCTTCCTTGCCTCTTCCAGCTTCTGGCAGTGGCTGCAGTCCTTGACTCGT